TTGCGGTAGTTAGAAATTAGTTCTCAAAAGATATATAAACGGTCGCTATACTCATGCTTTGATATCTGACTCAACCGAATAGGCTCTGAGCAATAGATATTCTGATATCTTACTCAATCCGAAAGGTGGGCAGGAAATTTTTAGCATCAAAAGTGATGCTGTCGGCATATGATGTTTGGCACATATTGCTTTGAACGTCTAATGCTATTAGCGTCTGATATTTGAGACTGATCATCTCTAATGTCTAAAGTTTCTGGTATATGATGTTTATTGCTCGCTTAATGAACGTCGAATATTGCCTTCAGTATGAAAGGTCCGTGATGACTTGAAAATAAAATAATTTTTAACTTTCGTTCTAAAAATAAATGATTGAAATCCAACCACCTTTGTTTACGCGCATTTAACATGATCGACCCTGAATATGGTGATCGACATTGTTTCGCTGACGAGCTCGATTGTTGTATTACGAACTAATCCGATAATTATGATTGTTCATAACGAAAGGTTGAAATGTTAGGTATTCTGAGAATCTCCTGAAAGGCTGAGAGTCATAAGAAACGGTTAAAGTTAATGCTGTCCTTGGAACGTTCGTTCTTATTGTAACGTTCGTTACGAAAGAGAGTTAATGATGTTGTGTTAATATTATCATTTGTTTCAAAACGGGGACAAGCCTTTCCGTCTGCTTAAAGCATAGTAATTTTACTATGTGTTCCTACATTCTTAACCAAAGCTATGGTTCCGATGTGGTTAATGTAAATAAATATAATTATAATGGTTGGATAAATTGTAATTAATCGTTCGTCGCTCGAACAAAGTATTATTCACTTAACACATCGATGTACATTGTCACGGCTGAATCCTCGTGACCGATTTTCTGTTACCTAATCGTTGCAGGTACCGTGGCTTATAATCTCAAAAATCACGTCATAGTTGCACAATATTATTATTTCGCTTTATGTCAGGATTCTGCGGATTTAGTCAACGTCGAGGCACCAAACAGGCATCCGGTTCTTCATATTCATCTATTTGGAGGTTTGTATATAAACCTGGATGCCACAGAATTAGGTTCAGTATAACAGGGTATTGCACAACTAATACTCAAAAGAACTTACTTTTCACACCCAAATCGTCGACACCATCTTGAGGTGGGACATTACGGAATGTGTCCATAAACATGCATGTAACTGAATTTCTTGGCCATGCCTTTCATGCCTGCCAGTTGGCAACTCGATAATCATGACAGTTCCATTACTAAAGTCCCAAAACCTCTTTGCCTTGGCCTTTTCAGCTCTTTGACAAATAATTTCCATGTGACATCTGTTGCTAGGAAGTCTAATAGGATAAATAAGTTAGAGTAGGAAAACTGAAGCAAATATGATATGATAAATGGGCTTACTTTTCGTTATCAATTGGTTTAAAGGTGCATTTTTTTCGGCACTGTCCGCCTAATCTAAGTAAACAGACATTTTTTAGGAACAGGTGTTCACAGAGGCGCCATTATCATCCTGATTGAATAGTGATCTATTACATTACAATTGTTGATTGGCGCAGCAGATGATGATTGCGTCATGTCATCTATATGTCAACCTCACGTAATAAATGTATAACGTAACACATATTTCTCAATTTTTAACTGGTACCATCAAGATCATACGATTTTAATGCAATACACTAAACCCGATTTGTCTAGTGAGAATTTATAGGGTGCAGAGGTCTGCATGATAAAAAGGTTTGAATAAATCTGCTTTCCATATAATAATCCTTTCCTGAAAACATTATTCCCCGCTCAAACTCATAATCCACAAGCAAAAGCTGATAAAAGGGGGGCTAAGACAAAAACCAATCATGCGATCAAGCACTTGACGATGCCGGTGGAGGACCTCCTAAAATTACTTGTGGTCAAAGGCAACAAAAGTCCTCAACTGAACCAGTCAATTTTTATGAGAAGAAACTATGCGGCGGGTCTTCCAAGACGTCTGAAGCTGAATTTTACGGAAGTTAGCAGACGTACTGCACTTCAATGGGGGCGGGAAGGCGAAGCCATCAGAGCTTATTATCATCTTCTTGAACAAATCGCAAATTGATATATGAAAGTGCAATGTCAGATCCAACGGATAACGATACTATAGTAATCTTCCGTGATTTTCACTCTGTGGTACAAGCGATCTACGAAGGCTGTGGCATTCTAAATTCCGGATCATAATAATAATCCTCCTCGTCAACGTAATTTATGCGACGTTGTTTACAGAAAACAACGAAGTTCTAAATTTTAGGTTTGTAGTCCCAATTATGTTATAACACATGCACTTATTCACAATCTGTTTGCCAGTTATTTAAACATCTACAATGGCTTTTGCATGAAGAAACTGGACAATTTAGGCAGTATTATTAATAGATCAGAGAAAGTCAGAACAATTCAGAAAAAGTCAGAAGAAAATGACATATTAGGAATTCTAGTAATGATAGAATCAGACCAATCGAAAATTAGCATAATCCTTGCAATAGAATAGTTCTTATATTCTAATAAACCGTGTTAAAAACAAACCTATTTATTCTTTTTGTGTTAAATAATTCTGATACAGTCGACCTCCCCTACAGTCACACTGTCAGGACCAGGCAAAACTGGTGACTGTATGGAAGTGTGACTGTATTAGTATAGAAGGTTTGCATCTGGTCATGTGATTAAAGTATTATCCCCATTTTATTCTTATTATAATGAGATCAAATACTGACAATACAGGAGATAATTTCTTAACTTCCAAAGTAAGCATCAATTT